AGGCAGCTCACCACCACCTTCTCAAGGGGCAGTTAGGGACCAGCAATAAATGCTGGGGACAGCCAGTGACACCCACATCCCAGGAGTGAATTCTTTAAATAGCATGTTACTCCAGGTGTAGTCTCACCAGGGTCCTGTAAAGCTGAAGCACAAATTCCTTACGTTTATATTCAATTCTCCTCACAAAAAAAAATGAGCATGTTATTGTCACTCTCCTGATTACTTGCTGTACCTGTGGGCTATACTTCTGCGATTCGTGCTTTCGGACACCCAGATCATCCGGATGTATCTAATGCGGATACATGGGGTTATCCACTTTGATATCAAAATAGGAAGGCAGATTATTATCTGACTGGCTATAAATTGATAAAGGGAAGGAGCAATGGGTCCTGGTAAACCAGCAGGCAGTAAAGAAGGCGAAAGGTATATTGGCCTTCATAACGAGAGGATTCGAGCACAAGAGCAGGAATGACTTGTTGCAATTATACAGGACCTTGGTCCACATAGAGTCATACAGCACAGAAACAGACCTTTCAGTCCAACCAGTCCATGCTGACCATTATCCCAAACTAAACTTGTCCCACACCTGCCTGCTCCTGGCCCGTATCCCTCCAAACCTTTCCTATTCATGTCCTTATCCAAATGTCTTTTAAACGTTGTAACTGTACCCACATCCACCACTTCCTCAGGAAGTTCATTCCACACGCGAACCACCCTCTGTGTAAAAAAATTGCCCCCATGTCTTTTTTAAATCTCTCTCCTCTCACCTTAAAAATGTGCCCCCTAGTCTTGAAATCCCCCACCCTAGGGAAAAGACACCTGCCATTCACCCTATCTATACCCCTCATGGTTTTATAAACTTTGCCCTCAGCCTCCTACACTACAGTGAAAACAATCCCAGCCTATCCAAACTTCCTTTATGAACTCAAACCCTCCATTCCCAGCAACATCCTAATAAATCTCTCCTGCTTGGATTGGCACCACATCCACAAGCATTCACTCCCTCCACCACCGACGCTCAGTAGCAGCGGTGTGTACCATCTACAAGATGCACTGCAGCGACTCACCAAGGTTCCTTAGACAGCATCTTCCAAACTTTAGACCGCTTCTGACACAAACAGGGGGCAGCAGATACATGGGAACACCATCCCCTCCAGGTTCCCCTCCAAATCATTCACCATCCTGACTTGGAAATATATCGCCGTTCCTTCACTGTCGCTGGGTCACAATCCTGGAATTCCCTCCCTAAGGGCATTGTGGATCAACCCACAGCAGGTGGACTGCAGTGGTTCAAGGAGGCAGCTCACCCCCACCTTCTTAAGGGGGCAGCTAGGGATGGGTAAGAAATGCTGGCCCAGGCAGTGACGCCCACATCCCACAAATGAATAGAAAAGAAAGGTCACCCCTTACTAAACATAAAGCAGACATAAGCCTGGCCTGTCCAAGCTTTTCTCATTACACAACCTGTCTGTTCCAGGTGTTGGCTGGTAAACCTTCAAACTGCTACAGTGGGGTATTCACACTAATTGGGCTAAATGGCCGTGTGTTTTGTGCAATTCTACGTCGTCTGATGAACTGTGCCCCAGCTCTGACTCGAAGCAGTGCCTTCTGTTGTGATTGGAACTTGTTGCTGTGAGCAGGTAGAGGGAGTGTGTCAGAAGCAGCTCATAGATGGTGGCTGAAGCCTTGCTGCCTGTAATCTATTTTGCATGGATTTCTGACTGACAGCTCTGTTCCTTGTAGGCTGTGCTGCTCCAAGTGAATGACACTAATTCGCCTTGCAATGCACATTTAAATCACGGCGTTTCTGTTGCTGCTCAGCTGATTACTCACTGGGAATCAGAATGGATTCTGGAGGGAGAGAGACAGCCCGTATTTGAATACAAGCACAAGGGAGCTGCCAAACACTGCCTCTCCTACAGGGAGGTCCCAACAGCCCCAGTATCTGGTTACAGATCAGGCAAACACGAGTGGCAATGGAATCAGGGCCCTGATGCCCAACCCAGATCCTCTCCCTATTGCCCTTCGGCCCAACTCATCTGTGCCGGCCAGATATCCTACATTAATCCACTCCCATTTGCCAGCATTTGGCCCATATCCCTCTAAACCCTTCCTATTCATGTCCCCATCCAGATGCCTTTTAAATGTTGTAATTGTACCAGCCTCCACCAGTTCCTCTGGCAGCTCATTCCATACATACACCACCCTCTGTGTGAAAAAGTTGCCCCTCAGGTCCTTTTTAAATCTTCACCCTCTCACCTTAAACCTATGCCCTTCTAGTTTCAGACTCCCCCTATCCTGGGGGAAAAGACCTCGGCTATTCACCTGCTCCATGCCCCTCATGATTTTATAAACCTCTTTAAGGTCACCCCTCAGCCTCCGACCCTCCAGAGAAAATAGCCCCAGCCTAAACCCTTCAACATCCTTCAGCCTCTTCCTACAGCTCAAACCCTCCAACATCCTTCAGCCTCTCCCTACAGCTC